AAAAAAAAAAAAAAAAAAAAGATCTGCACTGTGCTCAGACCATGGATCGTGTAAGGGCATTGTCACGTCTCCGGCGATAGCTTCCAGATCGCTGCAAAGCGCAGTCGCCGTCGACTTCGTGCGAAAAGGCTCCAGTCCCCTTCCATTACAGTAGCATTGCGGTGCTACTTCCGTGGTGGCGACGGCGCCTCGACTTCTTCGTTGCAGCACCAGGATTATGGTGGCGACGAAGCGGTGTTTGTAGGACCAGGATTGGGGAGGATTATTAAGGTTTGGGTTTGGGGTTAGGTGGGGTATGGCTGCAGATCGGGATTGGGGGGAGATATGAGCTTGGGTGGGTATGGCCGAGAGAGACGAGAGAAAGGGTTGAGAAGCAAATGATAAATTAAGATTTTAAATTTTTAATAATTATAATTATAAAATATAATTACCATCTGAATTTTGAAATGTAAACTTTATTACCTTGTTTTTGAAATGTAATATTGAAAAGAAGGGTTTGATGTAATTTTCTCGTATAGTATATATGATTTTTTCCCAAAATTCAATCCAACTATGCTTTTATTGGGAACCCGGCCCATATTGAATATCCAATATTAATTTTAAAATTAATTAGCACATTATTATTTATTTGGATTAAGCTTGTCGGTATTTTTAAGGTTATCTTATTCACGAAATTTCAATTCAAAAAAAAAAAATCTAGAATTATTATTATTTTATAGATAAATGTTTTGAACAATTTCGATTTAATCTCTACAGTTTTACATTCATTTTCAGAAAGTTAATTCTACACAATTATAATTTCAGTGAGTAATTTTTGGAACACAATTAATCACCTGCATGGTTCAAAGTTCTCAAATACACAATGTTCAAGTTATGAAAATGAATAATGCTACTTGTACAGTCACACTCATTTTTAACACATATTCATCCAAAAAATCATTATTATTATTATTTTATTTTTTGCATTTTTTCATATTTTTCTACTTTTAACAATACATTCTTCAAAAAATTATTTTTCAAAAATAACTTTTCAAATAAACACTTTCACACAACTACTAAGATTTTCACAATTTTTATACTATTATAACTAGGAATATTTTTAGGGATAATTGCAGATGATGCCCCACACCTTTCAAACAGTGACAAACTTTCCCTCAACCTTTCAATCGTTGCAGTCATCACCCCAAACATTTCAAATCGTAACAGCCGAGGCACCAATGGACGGTTTCCATCCAATCTGTCATTAGTTAACCCAAAAAATTAATTTTGACCACATTTTAATCAACTTTAAATAGGCAAAACAATAATTTAATATTTTTCTCATTAAATAATTAAAAATTTAAATAAAAAACCAAAAAAATAAAATAAAAAGGAAAAATATATCTTCTACATCAATCCACACCCCACCCTCCTCAACCTAAAATTAGAAATTTGCCATCGACCACCATTGCCGATGGCAAAATTATTAGATATGGGAAGAAATTGTAAGAACTCACCATGTTTTTCTTTTCTTATTTCTGGAGATTAGAATCTTTGTCATTGCAATGAAGTGAAGAGTACCTGATATATGAGACAATAGATTTGCGCTTTGGCTTATTTATCTTCAATTGATGATCTATCTTCTCTCCACCGTCCTTAAAAAGAAAGATTTTTTTCTCGATCACTTGTTTAGCTTGATATCTCATAGGGTTTTTGATCTTTTGGCTGGACAACTGCGACTAAAATTTTAGTTTTTGCTAAGAAAGCTCAACAAGAGGAAATTGGAGATGGTGCTAACTTGACCATTTCATTTGCAGGTGAACTTCTCAAAATGTTGAGCAGCTAATCGGGGTAGGTCTTCATCCCAGTGAGGCGATGGTGACAGCGACTATGGTGGTCAGTGGCAAATTTCTGATTTTGGTTGGGTCGGGTTGGGTTGGATTGGATTGGATTGGGGTGGGGGTTGATGAAGAAGATATATTTTCCTTTTTTATTTTATTTTTTTGGTTTTTGATTTAAATTTTTAATTATTTTATGGAAAAATATTAAATTACTGTTTTGTCATTTTTAAAATTGATTAAAATGTGGTCAAAAATAATTTTTTTGGTCAACTAACAGCAGATTAGATGGAAACCGTCCATTGGGGCCTCAGCTGTTATGATTTGAAATGTTTAGGGGTGACAACTGCAACAATTTTAAGGTTAGGGAAAAATCTGTCATTGTTTGAAAGGTTTGGGATCTCAGCTATTTTTAGGGTAAAATGTACCCACTCCGTCCCAATTATATAAGCAAAGTTTCATTATATAGAATATTTTGTTATGTTATTTTACCAACATACTCTTATTAAATTTTTCCCACTTAATATGTCAATTTCTTGAAATCATCCAAATACACACATTTCTCAATTTTGGAAATATGGAACAACTCTCATTTCTTCTTCTTCTTCAAATTCTTTATTAATTCAAACAATGATTTAGTTTTACATACTGAAAATTAAATATGAGTAAATTAGAAAAGATCTCGGCAAAAAATAATTTTTCAATGATATTAAAGAAACTTTCTTAATCCGTATGAAAAACGAAACAAACCTATATAATTGGGACGGAGAGGGCATTATGGAATAGTGATTTTTTGAAAAATGTGTGATTAAAAAGTAAAGAAAAGATTTTGAAATGCGTGTATAATTATTTTATTGAAAAATGTGGTTGAAAATAATTTTTGAAAAAATGGGGCTCAAACATGGGGCCAGTGTGTGAGAAATGTAGGTTTGAGTTTGACCTAATAAAATCTATGGTTCTTGAGATTAGAATTCTGGAAGAATAATGAAAACTAAAGGCCTTCCAATTTATTAATTCATTAAGCATGTTATCTCAAACTATAAGGTCTTCCAAATTCCCACCTAACCAAATTAATTAGTAAATTAAACAACCAAACATTCAACTGGTGTATTTGTTTATTGCTATTTTTCTATAAAAAAAAACTAGAAGAATTATTTATTTACCTAGATTGGGAAACTTCATTTTTATATTAATTGGTTAATCCTTCAACTAGCTCATATATAATTCCATTAATCCACGATAAAAAAATATTTGTCTGCACCTAATATTTGATGGATGATTTAATGTTATCCCCTACAAATTTATTAAAAAACGGATTTGAGAATATAAAATACTTCGAAGGGAGATGGTATTATCTTCAAACAAAAGGACACAAATGTGACAAGAAAAAAGAAAAACATGTTTAAGCGATCTTTAGATAATCGCACGTTAAAAATTATCGAACGATTGAAGAATTTTGAGTCTTCCATTTCAGCATTTTTTAAGAATAAGTAAACCTTTTAATCTTAGCCAAACATGATAGCCCCAAGCATGTATATCTATCCATCTAACATTATATATATATAAAAAAAATTAATTTGCTGATTCATGTTTGACTGGTTAATTAATAATGCAGGAAAACTTGGAAACCACCTTTATTTAATGTTAATTTAAAAACATCATAACTTCCAACCAACTTCCAACCAAGTAAATACATTTATAAAGAATGACTTCTACATGCGTACGAACACAAATACAAGAATAACGCGTTTAAACTTACTTTATATCGATGTTTTTGGGTTTTGTTCTAGTACATTATTTGAAAAGTCAATATTTTTCTAAACTAAGAAACTATATTTTAACATGTTTGAATAATTTTCTAAAAGTGCTTTGTTTGGACTAAAAGAGATTTTAAATAAAGTCAGGGAAATGCTATTTGTACATCGGGGTGTCGAGAGATTTTAAATAAAGTTAGAAAAATGCTATTTGTACACAGGGGTTAACGGTTAAGTAGCATAATCCATAAAGTTAACCTAAGATAATTTCTTAAGAAAATTAATCTACAAAAAAGAAGTCCCCAAATTCTATTTAGAAATTATCGTATGCCTTGAAGGATTTTAAGTCTTCAATCAATCGAGTATATTTTAAAATAATATATGCTTTAGCCCTAAGCATACTTAGAGCGTGTTTGATGCACATTAAAATGAAAAGAATGCATTTTTTTGTGATGTGATGGTAAATATGTGGTTGAAAATGAAGGAAAAGTTATTGATGTAATGAAAAATATTATTTTATTGATAAATATGTGATTGAAAATGAGTAAAAGAATGTAAATGAAAATAAGAATGTAGCTCAAACTAGGGCTTACTCCGATTAATCCATCTGTACATGAGAATGAGTTCACAGAATTTTACACCCTCTCACGTGGGTCCCACGCCGGGACCCACCTCAATAAAAATGGAAAAAAATTACCCACGCACCCCGCCCTCGTGAGTTGTCACTTGTCGGTAGGGGTCACCCGGTCACAGAACCCCTACTTCAGTACATGCAGCAATCATATTTGACTGGTTAAACAGAAAAGAACTTGGAAACCAACTTTTATGTTAATTAAAATTTTTGAAACTTCCAAGCAACTAAATACCAATTGAAGACTTTCAAGTTGAATAAATAATGACTTCAACAAACCATCAGTCTTTAAATATTGAATATGAAATCACAATATTTCTAATTTCTTGTATAACAATCAACTAAAATATTGTTCGGATTACTTAAAATCTCAGTCTGTTCATTCTGATCTTTCGATCAAATATATGGCAACATCTTCTCCAATCAGATTCATAGAAGATGCACTCTTTTGTACCAATCAATTCGGATTGTCCTACGCTGACCCGGATCAGAAATGGATAATCCGAGATCACCTCATTTCACTGCTTCAAGATTTTCCATTTTTAAAACCTTCTGTAGATATCTTCACACACAACAATGGCTCTCAGGTTAAACTTCTGAATGCCGGTGGTGATATTAGGGTTTCTGACAATACACCTCTTATCCCTTTAATCATTTGGCTGCATGAATTTTACCCTCAAATGCCTCCTATTGTGTATGTTTCTACAAATTCTGCGAATTTGATTTCTTTAAATCATCCATTTGTGGATTCTTCAGGTGCCATTACTTCTTCATACCTCAAAAACTGGCAGTTTCCCCGGTGCAGTCTATCGGACTTAGTACGTAACTTGATCAAGCTTTTTTCTCATAATCATCCTCTTCATTATTTGGGTTCAGGTTCGAGTTCGAGTTTTAGTTCCAATCCCTCTCTAGTTTCGAAAATGGAGGCGATGGATCGACTTGTGTGCACGCTTTACTACGACATGTTGGCTATTAGGCCGAAAATTGATCAAGAAATCGAACACTTTTCAGCCCTTCAAGCCGAAATGATCAACAGAGTTGATGTTGCAGATAGCATCCTTATTGGGCTCGAGCACGAAAGCGATAATCTGAAAAAAGGAATAGAAAAAATGTCTGATGAATCTGATAAGCTGTTGAATTGGTTAAAAGTTTATGATAAGAATTGGGATAATATTGAGGATGCATTTGAAGCTGCAGATAAGAAGTCAAAAATTCTTCTTGATTGCACGGCAGGTGATTATGCCATGGAGGATTTGATATATGCATTGGACAAAGCAGTTGAAAATGGGGCAATCAGTTTTGAAATTTACATTAAACAAGTAAGACTCTTGGCTAGGGAACAGTTTTTACATAGAGCTATGGTATTGAAACTTGAAAGGTCCAAAGAGTATAGGCTTTCTTGATGTAAACTTTTCGAATTTCCACATAAATCTTGTAGTCTAATATAACTATAAGAAAATCACGACTTAACATGGTTACTTGAAGTCATGTTAAAGGTCGTCTGTGTGTTTTGTTTGTCATGTTTGCATATTTACAGTCATGGGCGGACCTAGGGGGGGTCTTGGGGGGGGGGGGGGGACCCCCCCCCCCCAAACTTTTGAGAATTTTTTATTTATTTATTTTTTATAAAATCACGTTTGGTATCGATTGAAATCTAAATTTTAATCTAAATCAAAGTTAACAATTAATTTTAATAACATATTTCATGGAATCCATAACTGTTTAACTTTTATCAAAATTTACTAAAAAATTGATTTTAACCTCCATCAAATAGTGGCAAAATCACAATAAATTTGAATTTCGATAACATGCTAATTTTGAAAATTCTCTGACGATCGTACGCTAATCGAATCTACAAATTGATTATGTCATTTCAAAGCTTATTTGGAGAACTACATTATGAGCATATTGAAATTGTCCAAACACATATAAAAAAATAATTAAAAATACGTTAAACGTGAGTCTTAAAAAAAACGTCTAACTCGTATTTTTTTAAAATTCAATTATTTTATTAACCTTTATTATTTTTGCGATACAAATTTCTCCATGTAATTTTCATTATTTTATTAGGAAATTTTATATGAAATATGAAATCAAATTTTTTTGAAATTTTACATCCGAAAAAGTCATATCCCATGTAAATTTTCGGATGTAAAATTACATGAGGTATGACTTTTTTGGACGTAAATTTTCGATTGTAAAATTTTTCTCAACTTCTTTGCAAGTTCGATTGTACCTCCCTAACTTTTAAGTTTTGCGTCCGTCCTGTTTACGATCTAACTTTAGGTTCTCTTTGAAGTGTATGTGTTATCTTGTTCGTTATTAAATGAACTAACACAGTCATCCATCAAAAAATTAGAAAATATTTCTAAGTAGACCCTACAAATTTGTTGGGTCTGCCAATTCTGACGAAGCAATTTGTTTTAATTTGGATATTAATACAGTTGGTATTGGATATAAGGACTATGGGGGCCAGTCAATTTAAGACATATATGAATATCTGGAATATATATCTAAAGAACACACATTAACTGGTTTTCTATGAAAATCCTATAATTTGGATTCATTCGATAACATTCTTGCAAATACTAGATCGACCCGAACTATGCCGAAGAGTATTTGGCAAATCAGTGACACTCAAGACAACCCTTTTTGAACTTAAAAACAAAGCACTGTATAAAAAAAAATCATGCAAACTTCATGGGACGTAAGAAAGTAATAGACACGGAAGAAAAGTAGCTTTTTAGTTACTTTTAAGCACAACCAATCTAAGATCGTTCAAATTCGTAAGGATATGATGAATTGATGTTGCTCAAATCAACAGGAAATTCATCGATTTCATCACTCCATGGATTCATTTTCTCTCTATCAACAGTCTTGATTGCCTTCCAGACCATACTACTGCATTTAAAACCCGATCCGAATGATATTTGCCACAAAATATGACCCTCTTTGATCCTCCCTTTAGCCTCCGCATATGCCATTTCATACCAAACACTGCTACTAGAAGTGTTTCCATATCTGTAAAGTGTCATCCTAGCAGCCTCCATCTGTTCATCACTGAAACCCAGTTTCTTCTGAAGTTCATCGAGTAAAAATTTCGCACCGACGTGTGGGAAAAAATGATCAACAGCCATACTGAATTTAGGCTTATAAGCCTTGGAATTTGCTAAATGCAAGTGTTTTAGAAGCCAATAATTTATTGCACAGTAAATTGTTTCTGATAAGGGAAGGACTGATGGAGCAAGCCTTTTTATGTTGGATTGAATTGCATTATCTGCTGATATCACAAGATCTCTGGTTACTGATATTCCTAAGTTTCCTTTATCATCTTCTTCTTGGAAAATGCAATTGTATGAAGAGTCACTACTTGCCGTGTGCGTCTGGACAGTGTGGAGGAGTTTGTACTTGGATGACCCGCGGTCTGATGCCACGTTGGAAAGAAGGATAGCGGCCCCACCAACACGGAAAGCAGAACAGACGAGGTTTTTAGGCCGATCGTTGCCAAAGTAGAAATTTTGGGTCATGTTTTCCGTACTCACTACCAAGGCGTATGTGTGTCGATGCACCTAATAAACGCAATTAATAAAGAATTAGTATGAGCGATCGAAATCAAAGCACCGTGTTTTGCATGCCTGGCCAACTAGGTTGTACGGAAATGAAAATCACAACTTTTTAACATTTTCAAAATGTTTTCTTGAGTTTCTGAAGAGTATCGGTTTCTGAAATGTGCTTGAAATGGAATAGAACTTTCCGTGTAACCTAGATGGCCACGAAAAGGGCTTATTAATGTACCTGAAGGAGTTGACTGGCGAGTCCTATAGCTCTGAGTCCAGCACTGCATCCCATTCCAGTAAGATTATAGCTCACAATGTTATCTCTAAACTTGTACCGATTTACAATCATGCTAGATAAAGATGGCGCCACATTGAATATGGTACAATTCACCACCAATATACCTATTTGATCACATTTTATCTTCGTTTTCGCCAATAACTCATCTATGGCGCCAAACACCACCATTTCCGCCTCGCTCCTCGCTGCTTCCAAGCATGGCTCGGGCGGCTCTCTCAATAAGGCCGGCGGCCCATAAGTTGAGTCGCCTAGTCCAGATCTATCCAAAAGTTTTTCCAAGAATTCTAATGTATTTTCATCGAAATGGGAATAAAAAAAACGCCTCATTTGATGCATGAAACGTTCCTTGGAGCACTTTAGACTGCTTGGAGGTTTATAACAAGCAAAGTCTACTAAGAAAACTTCCAAAGGCTTTTTGAAGAAAACATGCACAATGAGTATCCATATGACTAAGCACAAAGGAGGTATCACTAAAATGAGCTTATTAGACTGGTCAATCCACCGAAAAATGATGGAAATCATGTTGCCCCAAGTCGATTTGAATCTAAGAACGATTTAGGAAAAAGGAAGTTAAGGAACCCGAATCTTGTTTGCCTGTGATTCTTTCTGAGAAATGAAAGTGGCAATGAGGTTTAGAAAGGAGCAGAGTTTGGCTTATTATTTATAGAAAGAAAAATCACTGTCTAAAATATTATCATGTAAGAGAATATAAGTCAACTTATGCATGCCAGCATTGTCATTAATGCCAACCGTTTTCCCTATCTTGCTCATGTCAATTTCTTTACTATTAAGATCATTAGAATTATCTCCTGTCCTTAAGATCTTATCAATTAGTTGTCATTTTCTCGATTGTTAGATCTTGTAAATTACTTGTTTCCTAGTTTTTGTTCTTTTTCCTCCTCAAGTGATTATCAAAAGATTATTTAAGAATCTCTTTCGGGGGTGGTCGGGTTGGTGGAGCAGGTGAACGCGAAAATCAAAGGTCATAAGTTCGAATCCTCTACCAACACTTCCTCGGTCGAACCGTCGCACCGGGCATGTCTAATGCGATTTACCTTTTTTATATGGTTTGCGGGCTACTGCACATGGAGCGAGATTTATTTAGTGTGCATTCACAGTGGTCGGGCGTACGTTGGCGGGTAGCTGCCGAGGGTTCCTACGTCAACAAAAAAAAAAGATTATTTAAGAAGAAGACGGCGAACAACACGTGTTTTTCGATTCAAACTATTAAATTAGAGTTTATTTCGAATTTTTCTCGTCTATCAAGAATGTACCCAGGTTCCTTTTCGCCAAGGTGCTATCAAAGCACGGTTTTTACTAGGTCTGAAGTTTAGCGATGATAGTAGTGTATGTGTTATGCCCTAGCTCCAATCAATTTTGGACATAAACGCTTTGACTATATATAATCAATGCATATATACTGCAATATCTATTATTATCTGAAGTTTAGCGATGATAGTAGTACAGTGAAATGTGAACTCATAAGCTTAATGGTTGCACAGTTTTTATTGGATATTATAGAGAGCTTTACTTGCTTACGACTTCTAACTCAACTTTCTCTTCTCTGCTAAAAAATTTCCGCAAATCTCATTTATGCAACCAACGGCTAACTGCAGAATTAATGAATGTCTGTATAGACGAACATAATTGCACTTGCAAGTGGTTCAACAGCCACCATATGCTGCCATTGCTGAAGACACAGATGGCCAGAGAAACCATATTTTTGTCACCAATTTAAATTCTGCATTAATGTATATATTATTTTAATAATATTATGAATGTAGATTATCATTTCATGCATAGTTAGAATATATAGAATGTGGGGAAAAAATAGTTATAATAATTGCAACAAATGAATGGATGGCTGGTGTGATGAATAATGCTATTTGACATTATTGATATTTAACGCCAGTCTAACGGCTGCATTATTGGCATTAAATTATAAGTTTAATTAAATGAATCACATAAATTCATCTTTAATTGGAGCAATCAGAAAAAGTCAAATAGACTGGTGATCTAGTACTACTGGTGTTACCATTATTATTCGTGGTGTGATATTCGTCCACATCTACGTTAAGTGAAAGAATAGTGCTACCTACCTAGTGTAAAACACCGTTAGTGTTACATAGCCTTAGCCTTAGTGCTACAAATGTCTTTGGATTATTGGTGTTAACGATAAGACTGAAATTAAAGATAATGCTCACTGCCTATCAACAGAAGATAATGCTCGGGAGTGGCAAATACTCACCATCGGCTAGGTTAGAACTTGTAAAATGCTGGCATGCTTGGTTGTAAGAGGACTTCTTTGTCCTTTGTTTACTTGCACAGTCTCCTATTGTCGTCTCATTGATTTGAATATTTGTTGGGCTGATTATGGGCTTAACATGGCCCAAAAAGAAAATAAAAATAAGTGGTAATTACATGAAATCATACTTTAAGTTTTTAAACTTCTAAAATCAGATTGGAAGTTTAATATTTCCAAAATCAGATTTTTTTTAATTATTATAAATTAATATTTTAATAATAATAATATAAATTAATTTATATGCACATCTACCACCATCCAAATTCCAAACCCTAATCACTCCTCTTCTCTCCATCTCCCTCTCTCTCCTCGATCTCACCGGAGCCCGGCCCTATCTTCATTGTCTCTTTGCATCTCTCTCCCCTCTCTCTTTCTTTTTCATTTACGGTCGAATCGCCTAACTCCGAAGACAACGTTTCATCGGCAGCGACTGCAGTACTACACCAGGCGACATAGACCCAACCCATTTGTCGTCGGCCCGGCGACGACGTTGCATATCTGCTCCATCTATAGTGAGGCACCACTGCGTGTAGCTCCACCTGGCCACGGACGGCGATTTTTCGTTCCGGGGGAAAAGGGGAAAATGGAGACTGAGAAGAGTCGTTTGGTGGCGATTTTTCGTTGCGGTTTTTGATGTGGTCGCCGTTGAAACTCAGTGATATGTTCGTGTTGCCTGCGAATGATGTTGTCTGCAGGTCAGTTTTAGGGAGGAAATGCAGTGAAGAGGGAAATGGAAAGCAATTTCTGAATCTATTGAGAGAATTTCTGATTTTTGGTATTTGGTTGGTGGTGGTTGTGATGGTGATGGTGGTGGTGGTTGTGATGGTGGGGGGTTTGGCGGTGGCAGGGGGAGGAGATGGTGGTGGTGGTGGTGGTGTGCTATGGATCGTGAGCTGTGTTGTAGTGTTGTGGTGATGTGTCAAGGGCATCGTGGTGTGGTGGTGAGGGGTTTGGCGATGGCAGGGGGCGGTTTTGTGGTGGTGACGGTTGCTGAAAGTCATGGTAAGTTGGTGTATTGTTTTGTGTGTGGTGGGTGTGGCCGAATCTGAGTTGGTGTATTGTTGTGGTGGCGGCAGCGACGGCGACGTGGCTGGTGGCAGCGATGACTCATGAGGTGGTGGTCACTGGGTGGTCACAAAAGTCAGTGATGGTCACGGGAGTGGTTACAGAAGTCGGTGATGGTCACGAGGATGGTCACAGAATTCGGTAGTGGTAGCCTTAAACTTGTGACTAAAAATTAATCTATGACCAATAAATTTGAAAATATGTGACTGATAGATAACTGTGACCTGTAATTTTTTGATCCGCGACCAATAAAATAATATGTGACCTGATTTGTGATTTCGAAATAATTCGTGACATACAAAATTTTTTGATCTGTGACCAATAAAAAAATCGTGACCTATAAATTTTTTGATTTGTGACCTTAAAAATAATCCGTGACCAATTAATTATGTAAAGTCGCCGGAATAATCGTCAGAAAGTCGCAGGAAACTTCGTCGGAGTAGAGCTGTGACCGGAACAGTCGCCGGAGCGGTAGGGGTGGTAAAGGTGAGATGTGTTAATTATATTATATTAGAATTAAATATTTAATAATAAATTAATTTAATAATTTATTATTTCATAAATAAAAATTTATAATTTTTTAATAAAAATCTGATTTTGGAAATTTCAAAATTGTTTTCTTATTTTTGAAATAGGTTAAGCTTATTCTTTTGAATATGAAATCTTCCCTAAGAATAATCAACTATTTGTGTTGTTCAAAAGTAGTCTTATCCATGCATACAATCTTTAGTAAGTAGAAAAGATACCCGAATCTTAAAGTAGTAATTTGCTTAAATTAAACCTACTAACTATGGAAATAAATAAATAGCAAGAATTCACAACAATTTATAAATTCTTTCATTAAAAAAGTAAGCAAGTCGTTCATTCTCAATTGCCATTGTGAAATTCAAGAGATTTTACTCGTGAACACAAATTTAAAATGTGATATTAAAGACGTCTGAATATGTAGATATGGAATGTCGAAAAACCTCAACTTAAAAAGCTACTCTAAGCATGACTAAACATGCTTATGATCTCATATTTGCCCCGAGCTCAAATAGTTGGCTCATAAATTGAAGGGAGGAGTGAAAATTTCACAAGAGACAAAGTATTCTATTTTGTGGAAAAAAAAATTAAATTATTTAAATGGGCCTCTGGGTTATCCCTGAAGAAATTGCCAATACAAAGCCCAAAATCAACCCATCAATTAGTGACTGACCTTGGTTGGTATTTCACATGTGGTGCCATTCCATAATAGCGAATTTAGGTGGCGCTTGTTTTTGATTTTTTGATTCTACAGTAAATCAATTTTCATTTTCAACTACACATTCTTCAATAAAATAATATTTTCCATCACATCAATAATATTTTCTTCTTTTTCAACCACACATTTCCCATCATATCACTATTCAAAAATCAATTCTTCCCCCAAAAATTCCTATCAAACAAGCACTTAAAGATTTAAACAAAGTTGTAACCAAATGGGCTAGAAGTGAGATTGTTGAGATTTCTTTTGAGGCACGAGATGCTAACTATTGCCAATTGTGCAAACTTTTTGTTTAATTCCTTGTTTGAATAATCTTATATCATGAAGTCTTTGTTTTGTTAATCATGCAGGTCAGTTAACAACTATGTGAAGAGGACTAGGATATTAACAACAGTGGAGCCCCGACTTGGGGTTCAATGAATATCAAATTTTGGGAAAATGCACAGCCTCTATCATGCTAGTACAGAGGAGAAGGCAACTCCCACGGCTTTCCGTTGCTGATAATGCTTTTCATTTATAAACATTCAGGCTTCTCTTTATGATGCTTTCATTTTCAGCTGCGTTGCCTGTTAAAATATTCTGCTATCAACTGAGAGTTCTACTGCTTGTGACTTTCGCTTTGTATGACCTTTTGCTGTAGGAACTAAGTACTTTGATTTTACTGTTTGCAGATACCCTAATTACAAGTAATTTTGTCAATTACCAGGGAAGCTCTTTGTT